CTTAATATTATAAAAAAAAACATTGATTGCCCCCTTGGGCTTATGGCACATTTTGGTGCTTGTGGGGAGTCATCTCCCCGGACGGATTCTTCCGCATTATCACAAAGCTTATGCTACGTTGGGTGCCTTCAGGTACGTGTGAGACTTATCACCACTACAATAATTATAATCGGCACCCTATCAAAAAAAAAAAAACATCAAAAGATCGATGGTATCAAAAAAACTGTCGTATAAAAAAAAACCGATAAATACTTCCTCAAAAAAAGGAAATGGGGAAAAATCCCCTTACAACAGAAAAAAAATACTCCAAAACAAAAAAAAACTGAGCGGCCACTCTGGCGTGAGTGGATGGCCGGGCAGCTTCGCTCCGGACTTGCCTCCGTCTCGCGGGGATGTGCCACCGATTTCTCGGGGATGTCACCGCCGTCTCAGCGGGGATGTTGCCGCCGTCTCAACGGGGATGTTACCGCCGATTTACCGGGGATAATACCTGGGTTCTGGACTCAGCTGCTGGTCGCGCTGGGCTTGGTCCAGGATGCTCTGGAGAGCCTCTATGGTCCCTCTGGGCCAACGAGTTGCCTGACTCGGTGGCGGCCCGAAGCGGGCGTTCGCCCCACGCCCCAGAGCTGGTCGGGTCGGTGCGCTAGCGGCCGCCGAGGTGTAATACCCGTGCTCCTGGGACCTGTAGCCGGTGTCGTGGCTGGTCGGCGCCGTCGCTGGTGGTTGCCAGAGGAAGCGGAGCTCCGAATCTTCTGCATTTTCGTCCTCCTGACGAGGCCTGCGTTTCTCCTCCCGGGGGAACGGATAAGCCGGTCCGGCGGCGGCCGGACGGATAGGGACCCTTTCAAAGGGAGCCCAATACTCCTCAGCACGGCGATCGTGAAGGCGTGGCGGCGATCGGGCGACCGGCCGAGGACGAGTGCTGGAGGTGGCCGGCGCAGCTGACGGTGATGGCCTCACCTTGGAGGTCTCAGCTGGCTTGCTGGAGGGTCCGGCCGTTCTTCCTCCGGCAGGCTGAGTCACGGGCCATGGTCCGGGCAGACCCTGTCGGCCCAGAGTCGATAGGGGCATAGCCCGCAGAACAGCTCTCCGGTGGGGTTGGGGCAAACCTGGTGTGCATGGCCATGCCTGCGGCAGTCGAAACACCAGTGCCGAGGCTTGCGTCGTTTGCCTCCGGTGGTTCCCCTGGGCTGCCCTCCTTCCCGCTTCGCTGTGGTGGTGGTGGTGCGAGCGGACGTAGTGGCCCTCAGCTGCTGGCTGCTGCAGCGGACGGGGCTGTCCCTGGCTCCCAAAGGAGCGGGGGGGCCGACCTGCGTACAGGCGGATGTCGAGGCCTGAGCTGATGTGCTCGGACGAGTGGCCGCGACGGCAAAAGCACGTCCGGAACCCAAAGGGGTGACCTCCGGGAGCTTCTCGCCACCCTCATCTACTCTGAGGAGCGGATGTGGTGGCGTTTTCTCGCCGGCCCTTGGATCCGTGGGCGGCGGATGTTGTGTGGCCAGCTCCGTCTCGGGATGAGAAAGAGCTGGAGGTGGTGACGCTGCTGTCGCCGTGGTGCTGGGCAGCGAGAGGTCCCCGAGTGGGCCGAAGTCAATGCACTCGGTGCTCATGCTCGGGACGCTAGATGCCGGCGGACTTGCCGGAGCCACCCTTACAGGGGATGATGTCCAGTCCTCAATTCGGCCTGGTGGACGGCTGGGTCTCCTGATGTTGGCTCCGGGTTGTAGATAACCGAGCCCTCGGAATCCGATGAGGAGCTGCTGCAGCTGGATGACGTGGAGGTGCTGGAGCTTGAGGAGCTGGA